AAGATCATAGCCATGGTTGCGCTACGCACTTTACCTCCACTACGATTCGTACCCACATTCCACATGTGAAGGTCGGCAATTCCACCGGGAAAGTATATAGTGCAGAAACTCTTTTCACTGAGCTAGGTCATCCACTCTACCTCTCTATTCTCAAAACTGAAGATGAGTCGTATACCTTTGTCTCATTCGAAACAAGATGTTTTCTTTTTTCGCTTTTCGACTTCGCTCGATGACTACCTACTGTGGTCCGGCTGGACCCTTCGAAAATTCCACTAAATTCATGGCAGATAACGCGAGATTACTACTCATTATACTTTGTGTTAAAGGCAGAGGCATGAACGCTGGGGGCGGGCAGTTCGTTGCCACTGTCATTGGTGGAAGGGCTGAGTGAGGTGTAGCCAAACGCCGTTTTGCGACCCTCCACCAATGAAGCTGGCAACACCGACCCGTCCCACGATCGCACCAGCTGCTCCCAAGTGAGCATGCATGATGCTGCAAACAACAAGTGAAGCTCTAAAGCAAATAGGTAAGTAGAGATGAATGTAAAATGGAATGTCATAAAAGCAAAACCCACACACAATAGTGATCTAATTACTGACCTGATTGCATAGTAAACGAAGAAATTCACAGAGGTTGCTAAATTGACAAAAAGGCCGGCAAACTGGCTCAAATAGAACATATTGATGTTAAGCTGTAGTGCTGCACTTACGAAAATTACACAGCTGGTGGCAAAATAGCCCAACACTACGGTTAGACTTATAATAATCAGAGATCGATAAATGCTCTTCACCTTGTCGTCGCCTGAAGGAATCAGTTGGAAGCAACTGGTTTGTTTGCTCAGTCGGGAAGTTGTGAAGGAGCTCTTGTGGTTAGTGCCCAATTTCAGCTGCAGTTTTGTGCATTTACATTTTGCGAGGTTGCTGTCACGTACACTGCTCCACATAATGATAGTTCCACCCATAAATATTACAAAATCCCGTCTTACATGAGTTTTCAAAAATGTCCTCAAATAGAAAATGAGGTAATAATCAATACCAGTTTGCATGTCAACACCGGAAACTAACTTGAAAAAACAAGTTTTTTTGTTCATTTTTTTGAAAATTGGTACTCTGAAAATTCCACAAAATGATAGTTCCACCAAACAAATGGATCATCCATCAACAAGTGCACAACAAAATCAATGAATTGTTGATTCAGCAATCTACTGGAGCTAGGTTTCTTCGAATAAGCTGGGAAATGCGGTTGTCTGTGCTCGAATAGAGGTTTCAAATGAGTTTTCACTCGACATGCTGCCATGCATCAATGATTCGACTCCTTAAGCTCACGGACACCGTGGAATCGCTCACTGTTCGCATAAATCTGGCGAACCATGGAGCCCCACACATTCTCGACTGGGTTCAAGTCGCGGCTACTCGCTGGCCAGGGCAAAAGGGCGATTTGGTGACGAGTGAATCACGCTCAGCCAAAAACCAACCTTACTTCAATCGGTTCGGCAACATCTT